AGCCATCTGTCAGCCAAATAGTGAAGAAGATGGCATCTTGCCCTGGAAGCACAGAAGGCATTAGATGGCAAACACATGTCTCAGTGCCAAGGTGGGATTGTATTACAATAGCTGGGTAGAACTATGTTTTCTGTTTATTGTATACTGTATGCCACGTGTGTAGGGTTATACATTGTTTACTTGCTTAAAAGGCAAACAAATGCTGACCATGATGGCTGAGAGTTTACCTACTTATCAGCATTCATGCATCGTAACTCTTATGAATTGGAAATCTGCATTTTTAATTGGCACACACCTGGCTAATTCATATTCAGCATAATAGCTCCCAAGCATCCCAATGAAAACTAATATTTAATTTTGACAGGCAGTGTTTGACACTGTAAATCAATAATACACTTGTTTTCTAAGGCCCCTTTAGAACACTTGTGTTAAAATGTAGCTAAACCAACAACAACAAAAAATAGTATATTGCTTCTTCTTTTTTTTTTTTTACTACCTATTTTGGCGACCACAAAGAAAAGAGTTTTATCTCTTCGGCGCCATATGGAAAAAAAAGTGTTTTTATTACTGTCTATGTTCCTGGTAGAGATTTTTCTTATTTACTGTCCTGGTGATTATACAGAAAGCGAAGGAAAATATCCCCAGTAGGCACAAAAGCAAAACTAAAAACCTGAAGTCTCTGTCAAGCATCTGGGACCACTGACATGTGTTGCTCTGCCCACTGGTGGAGGGATGAACCACATAGGAGACGTGGTCAGTGGAGTAGCGCTGGCTGAGGCCGCATAACACTTTACACGTGTTGGGTTGGGCCAGCGATGTCCCGGATGCTTGACAGAGATACCACTAGATGTGTTCGTTTTGGATGCCAGCACCCCTACGTCTGAGAAAAACGGGAGAGAGTCTCCTCTTCCTTGGAGCAGTGCTTCAAGGTTCTAAAAACTGGACATTTTTTCCCTTCTGTCCAACACTAAAACTAAGAAAAAAACCTCTTGAGCTGGGGTTTGGCTTAATTGGATTATCATGTATAGAATATTAAGATGTCCTTATTTTTTTTCTACAGTTCAGCTTCAAAGTAAACCTGTCACACACCATGCCGACTCATAAGTAGAATAGGCTGAAACATGCAAAAGCATAGGTAGCCTTCCTTTAAAACCGCTAGTAGATGTCGAAAGGTAGGCAGCTAGAATTATGTGCAAATCTTGACTTTTGGGAAGTGCAAAGAATACCAGCTTCCTATATCTCTTTGACAAGTTGTTATTAGTGAAGGTAACCTTTGCTGATGTATGAAGGGCGTTCAACTCAAAATGGGACTTTTCATTTTACAGGTATAAAAAGGGATGCTAGCATGGCGGTACTACACGCAATAGTAAGTGGCAAGTGTGTCCTATTACTGATAGACGGCGCACATGTCACGGGCCAGTCCAAAGACCATTAATCAAGATGGCAGACAACAGTGTTAGTGTGTGCATGGAACAGCGTGTGCTGATATGTGGTGGTGAAGGCGTAAGACATTTGAATGGCGTAGACGTTTCAAAGATGGCTGTACGTCCGTAAGTGATGATCCTGGCCATGGTGATTCCAGCCCACAGCAGTCATTCAGCTTGTGGAATGCCTGATCCTGTATAATCAACTCATAGCTTATAACCTTTCATGAAATTGCACAAAAGACGAATTTCAGCACTCAAGACGAAGTGAAGCAGGCTGTCCGAGGATGGTTCAGGTATACTGACAAATTTTTATTCTGAAGCTTTCCAGGTATTCGCTAAATGTAGCAGAGGAGTATGTAAAAAATAAATGCAGTTTATACTTCTTGAAATTTGTTCTTTTATTATATAATCTCAAAAGTCCCAGTTTGACTTGAACGCCCCTTGTATTTTCTCATCAGTTTGAATTGCCCAAACGTGACAGGTTCGCTTGAAGGTTTTTTTTTTTTTTTTTTTTTAAGTAATGTATTCTCTTTCTGGTTCCAACTCAACAAGCTGGCTGAGCATCCTGAGTTTCTTGTCCCATCTCACCTTGCCATTCATTTTCATGTTCAAAATAATAGAATTTAATTTCATATTCAGAGTAATGTTTTTGTGAAAGGATTCAGGACTTAGGAATTGCATCCCTCATTTAAATGTATGTCCCAAATAATATTCTACACTGGTAATAATCTGAACAAAAGCAATGCATGCTGATTTATTTATGAAATCGTTTATTAGCCTTATTAACCATGCTTCTCATTTCCAATGGATAATGTCATCTCTTTAAAAAAGAGAAAGTCCATGGAATTCAGATAGGTAACAAATGTACTTCCCAAGGCCAAGCTAAAATACATTTTGTACAAAATGAAGCTGTGATATAAATAATGTTCAAAAGTAGAGAATGTTTTATTGCTATGAAAAAAACATTACTGCTCAAAGAAGTGACCAAAAGGTTATAGAATCTTAGTACTAAACCTGAAAATGGTCCCCTCATTTTGAACAAGACCTGTTAGATATCATGTTCCATCCTTTTAGCAACTATAGTATGTCTTCTCATTAAAGGAACACATAAACCCAATTTTTAAAATGAAATAGATTTTTTTTTATCGTGTTACTGTGAAAGTGTGACGGCTAAGTGGAGTTCCAGGCAAACAGCTAACATATGTATGATCTGCTTTAACTGGCAAAATTATTGTACTCGGAGTCAGAGTGGTGCAGAACGGTAGTGGAGAAAGCTGTAAAACTGAACTACAAAATAGGGGGAGTCATTTGCCTGTCTGGACTCAAGTACAAAAACATGTGCGTAACATCTCCAATATATAAGGCCTCATGTCCACCGGTTTATTGTAAACGCTGTTTCTCCTGGCAGGAGAAAATCAGTGTAAAACCTCACCTAAACTTCATTTTTCAAGCCAGTTCAGGTGAGTTTAGCAGTGTTTAGCAGCATTTGGTGTTTGGTAGTTGATTTATTTAATTGACCAGAATTGTAACTTATTCTGGGCACTGAAATGAATAAATGCTGTTAAACGCACCTAGCATTTAGGTGTGTTTAGGTGCATTTATGTGCGTTTAGGAGCGTTTGGCATTCTAAATGCAGGTAAACTCTTCTCCCGAACCCAGTTTTTGTACTTTTAAAGAAATGCCAGTAAACTTAGCTGCCTGTAAACTCCTTTAAATGCCAAAGCCCCTGAACTTAACTCCATAAAAGCCTATGTGTCCATGTACACATAGACTTTTACCAGAATTTAGGAGCAGCAGAGTTTAGGGGCAGTTAAACGTTCCTCTTCTGAACACAGAATAAAAGTGTTCAGGAGAAAAACGTTTTGGCCAAAAAATGCTAAACGCGGCAAAAACGTGTGTAAAAGTGACTAAACTTGTCTACACGCTAACTGTGTTTTCCATGTCAATTGAAAATACTTTGGCCAATCAAATGAATAAACATCCAAACGCTAAACACGGGTAAATGTGGCTAATTGCAGTACCGCATTTATACGCATTTTTTGCTACGTTTCTCGTTTTTCTGCTTCCAGGAGAGTTTGACGACTAGGTTGAGTTCATGTGTACATGAGGCCTAATACTGTACAACCCAGCAAACCAATGAAGGATAGTATCAAGTGTTTTATTCTACAACAATACAGACTTCATAGCTCAACAAACCAGTGGAAAAATATTATCTTTATATTTTTTTCCTCTTGAGGTAGGTGGTTTCTGTCAATCCCAACTGGAAACTAAAACAAATGTTTAAAAAAAAACAAATGTGACATTGCTGGAGGGAATGCCAAACAATGTATTTAATTATTAATCCGTATTCTGCAGTCCATCAGTAAATATCTTACACAAAATGCACAGTTATACAGTTGTGCTTAAAAGTTTGGATACTCTGTCAGAAATTGTGACATTTTGGCATCGATATTGAAAATATGACTGATCATGCCAAAAAGCTGACTTTTTATTTAGCCCCTCCAGCACCTCCCCCTTTAAGGGGTTTATGATTATGTGACTGCCATGATTGGCTGTAGCAGTGGTCACATGATAGGAAAGCCCTGATTGCAAGTAACATTAGGTGCCAGTTTACTGTGCCAATGCCACAAAAAAGCCCGGTGAGGCGTGTCAAGGTGTTGTCAGCCATATTGTTACCATTCTTTTTTGTGGCTTTGGCTCAGTAAAGGCTTCTTTCATTTTTGTTCATGTATTGTCATATTGTGCTCCTTCAAAACAACCACACTGTTTTTTTTCCAGAGCAGCTTGTATTTCTCCTGAGGTTACCTGTGGGTTTTGCTTTGTATCCCAAACAATTCTTCTGGCAGTTGTAGCTGCAATGTTTTTTGATCTACCTGACCTTGGCTTGGTATTAGGAAATACCCGAATTTTCCATTTCTTAATAATCGATTGAACAGTACTGACTGCCATATTCAAGGCTTTGGATATCTTTTTATATCCTTTTCCATTTTTATAAAGTCCCATTACCTTGCTGCACAGGTCGTTTGACAGTTCTTTTCTGCTCCCCATGGCTCGGTATCTAACCTGCTCAGTGCAGCCAAGTGAGAACTAACAAGCTTATTGACTATTTATACACATTCACTAATTTCAATTTAAAAAAGACACAGATGTGGGACATTAACCTCTAATTGGCATTTTAACCCTTGTGTGTCTATACCAAGGCCAAACATTCCAGGGTATGGGAACTTTTGATCAGGACCACTTGGGTGATTTCTGTTAAAATTATGACTTAAAACAGAGCTAAACAACAACTATATGATCATAAATGGCTTCATTATATCACTATCCTTAACCGCCTCCCGCCCGCCATATACGGTAATGATGGAAGCAAGGCGGTTCTCTCGTTCTGGGAGGACGTCATATGATGTCCTCCCACTCTAACCGCGCATGCTGGGCTCCGGGGGTGCGCAGTGGGTCGATTGGTGGTGCACTGTGTCCTTCGGACACAGCGGATCACCGATCAACGGAAAGAGCCAAAGATGTTGGCTCGATCATGTGATCAGCTGTGTCCAATCACATCTTGTAAACAGGGAAATGCCGGTTATTGGCATTTCTCTCCTCACAAGCTGTCACGCTGACCGCTTGAGAGGAAAGGAGAGCCGGTAATCGGCATCCCTCAGAGGGGACATGTACACTGATCATCAGGACACTGATGATCAGTGTGCCCTGATGTTCAGGGTAGCCCCAGCAGTGCCACCTATCAGTGTCCATCAATGCCAGCTGTCGGTGCTCATCAATGCTACCTATCAGTGCCACATCAATGCCACATATCATTGCCTACCAGTGCACATCAATGCCACATATGAGTACCCATCTGTGCTGCCTTTCAGTGCCACCTATCAGTGCTGCTAGTCAGTGCCACCTATTAGTGCTGCCTGTCAGTGCCAACTATCAATGCCGCCTATCAGTGCCATATATGAGTGTCGCCTTTCAGTGCCCATCAGTGATGCCTTCAGTGCCCATCAGTGCCATCTACCAGTGCCTCCTCATCAGTGCCCATCAGTGCAGCCTATCAGTGTCCATCACTTATTTACAATTTACAAAATTTATAACAAAAACATTTTTTTTTTCAAAATTTTCAGTTGTTTTTGGTTTGTTTAGCAAAAAATAAAAAACCCAGAGGTGATTAAATACAACCAAAAGAAAGCTCTGTCTCAAAAAAATGATAAATATTTCATATGGGTACAGTGTTGCATGACCACGCAATTGTCATTCAAAGTGTGACAGTGCTGAAAGCTGAAAATTGGAGGGGGCAGGAAGAGGGTATAAGTGCCCAATAGGCAAGTGGTTAAATAAAACATTTTTTTTTGGCATGATCCGTCATATTTTCAATATCCATGCCAAAATTTCAGGATTTCTGCCATGGTGTGCAAACTTTTGAGCACAACTGTATCTTATAAATTCATCTTAGCACCATGCTATAAGTGCACGATTGAGCATTTTGTTGGTTTTAATCTACCGATTCATGTTACTTAGTAGCAGTAGGGGTTTGTCACAAAGTTAGTTTTGTTGTAGCTAAATGAATGTAACTCGGATTTAACATGCAGGCTTGGATCCTTAATCCAATCCTTAAAGTGGTTGAAAAGCCTGAAGGTTTCTTACCTTCATGCATTCTATGCATGAAAGTAAGAAACCTTCAGAGTACAGCTTCCCCTGCAGTCCCCTAATACTTACCTGAGTAGGGTTGCCACCTCATCCCTTTAAAACCAAACACATATTAGTTACACAGGTTCTGAGATAACTAAAATCACTTAGTGCCTTATCTGTGTTAAATTATCACCTTGCTCAGAGAGAACCTGTGTAATTAATATGTGTTCAGTTTTAAAGGGATGAGGTGGCAACCCTATACCTTAGCCCAATCCCGATCTAGCTTCCTGACTCTCTGCCTCCTCATTCGCTCAAAGACAGCCGCTAGAGCCATTGGCTCCCACTACTGTCAATCACAGCCAGTGAGGAGGGAGTATGGGAGGGGCTAAGTCCTGTTGTGTGAGTTTTATGGACACACAGATCAGGGCTCGGGAATGAGCATGCACAAGTGCCCCTAGCAAGCAGCTTGCTTTTGGGGCACTTGACAGGGTGGAGGGGCTAGGAGAACCAGAGGGGGACCAGAGAAGAGGAGGATCGGGGCTACTCTGTGCAAAACCCCTGCACAGAGCAGGTAAGTTTAACATGTTTGATATTTTGAAAAAAAATCAAGCCTATAGTATCACTTTAAATTTACTCACCAGCTATCGAGAGGACAACATAACACTAGCAGAGACCCAATAAAATATGTTAATTACTTGTGAGCCACTAATAAGCGTTGATAAAGGATCGCTGACAATATCACATTCTCATACTGTGTATATAAAACAGAAAATAAAAACTCTACATGTCGCGCTCACAATATAATACAAATATCAATCAAATATATATATATATTATTTTGATTTGATTGATATTTGTAGTATAGTGGGAGCGCGACGTGGAGTTTGTTTTAATGTTTTATATACACTAGCAGAGACCCAATACTGAGTGAGCAGTTGAGAGGTTATGTGGCTAGTTAGAACGCAGATTCTTTTAAAAAATAGCCACAAGGCTATTAGGCCGTTCACTCTGTAAGCGAAGTTGGACTTTGCAGCGAATTGTCCTCAGAGCTTGGTGGCTGCAGTGAAATTTCACTTTGCAAAGAATACCCAATCACGTGCAAAAAAAAAATAGGCAAATACCCTTTTTGTCTTGTACATGATTGGTGATGATGGAAGTCAGCAAAGCATTAAAACATTCATTATCGAAGGAAAGTTCCCTTGCAAAGTGCAACTTCTCTTGCAAGAGATCATTCTTTTGCAAAGTGGACAGTCTATTTGTCTTTAGTAAATCAACCCCCTTGAGTCCAGACAATATGCTAATTATTACTTTCTGGCACTGTATCTAAAAATGTCCATGGTTCCAAACTCCAGCAGCCATTTACTGACCCTGACGCTTTGTGGGCATCACCTATTATTATTATACAGTATTTATATAGCGCCAAAGGGTTTGCTCAGCGCTGTACAATAGCAGGGGGGACAGAACATGAGACAAAACAGTACAATACAATACACGAGGGGTTCGAGGGCCCTGCTCTTACAAGCTTACAATCTGGGAGGGAGGGGATAGTGGTACAGGAGGAAGTGGCTGTGGGGGATGGAGTGGTAGGAGGATTGGAGGAGATCAGTTGTTAGGTGAGGGTGGGGTAGGCTTCCCTGAAGAGATGGGTTTTCAGGGTGCGCCTGAAGGTGAGGAGGGTAGGTGATAGTCTGATGGATTGGGGTAGGGAGTTCCAGAGGATGGGGGAAGTCCTGGAGAAGTCCTGCAGTCAGGCGTGGGAGGAGGAGACCAGGGAGCTGGAGAGTAGGAGGTCCTGTGAGGAGCGAAGGGCACGGGTAGGGTGGTATTTGGGTATCAGGTCGGTGAGGTAGTTTGGGGCAGCGTTGTGAATCACTTTGTATATCAGAGTTGGTAGTTTGAATTTAATGCATTGAGCAATCGGGAGCCAGTGAAGGGATTGGCAGAGGGGGGTGGCAGATGTGGAGCGGTTGGTGAGGTGGATGAGTCTAGCCGCTGAGTTCAGGATAGACTGGAGTGGGGATAGCAGTTGTTGGGGTAGGCCAGTGAGAAGGGAGTTGCAGTAGTCCAGGTGTGAGATAATAAGGGAGTGTACGAGTTGTTTGGTGGTGTCTGGGGTGAGGAATGTACGTATCTTGGAGATGTTGCGGAGGTGGACCCTGCATGACTTTGATAGTGATTGGACATGAGGTTGGAAGGAGAGGTTTGAGTCCAGGGTGACACCCAGGACTTTGGCGTGTGGGGTGGGATTGATGGTGGCGTTGCTAGTCGTGATGGGGGCGGGGGGCGCGGGGCTGGGGGGAAGACTAGGAGCTCGGTTTTGGACACGTTTAATTTGAGGTAATAGAGCGACATCCAGTTTGATATGTTGTTCAGGAGGTGGGCGATGAGGGGGGTGAGTTGAGGGGTGGAGAGGTAAATTTGTGTGTTGTCGGCATAGAGGTGATAGTTGAAGCCGTGGGAGTGTATCAGTTTGCCAAGGGAGGAGGTGTAGATGGAGAAGAGGAGGGGTCCGAGGACAGAGCCTTGGGGGACACCAACAGAGAGGGGGAGGTGGCAGCGTTATAGGTAACGTTGAAGGAGCGTTGGGATAGGTAGGAGGAGAACTGGGAGAGAGCGGAGTCTCTGATGCCTATGCTGCCAATGCTGATAGAGGGCATTGGCAGGAAAGACACTCGTATTCTTATTAAGTGGCAAGTGCCAATGAAATAAAAAAAAAAAAAAAGTCTTTTTTTAAATGTGTTAATTTGAGATTTTGACCGCTGGCTTTCTTGACAAGTGCAATTTGTATGTTAGATAGGGAAATGAGAGCTTTCACAATCTGCTTTAGCAAATGGAGGTTTCAGGCCCCTTGTCTCTTGGGTCACAAACTTGCTGATAATGTCATTTAGATGTGCCCCTGTCATTTTTCCGACTCTTTTTCTCTCTTTATATTTAGCATCTGGCAAATGTTATTTGATCTAATTAGTAATTACATTGTCAAATATGGAAATGCAGCTAATTGCATGCTGACATTGACTATTTTGCATACAAACCTTGATGCTGAGATATCTGTAGTGTGAAAAATAATGCAAGAGAACACAGTGCAAGCTGAAAGAGAGACACAAAAGGTGACCTCATCTGACAAACTGTACTGTACTATTATTAATATGTTCTGACAAAAGTGCTTCTGGTAAGATGTCACTGCAGCCCTTGGTGAATCCGGGTTTTGTATTGTATCTCTAGATCATATTGTGTAGGACATGTTCATTTCATGCAGGTGCAGCCACTTAGCAGCATTTCCAGAAGAACTTTCATTATGATCACTTAGCAACAAAAAGCACCTGTTTACACAATTAGGCAATTCATTGCACACAGACAAATAATAGGTACGAACCTAGGGACACCAAGCACAGTAGCGTGACAATCCACAGCATTGTTTTCCCTGCTGAGCATAAGTAGATGTAGAAAAACAAAACTGTCACTGTTGGGACAATGTAAGCTGCTTAATTACCAGCACTACTGTCCCATAAAAATATCTGATAGTCGTACAATTTAATTTAAACATTTTACAACTGATATAGAAGAGAAAAAAGGCTTTTGCATCTCTGCTGTACAGTATAGGCGGACAATTGGGGGTTAAAAAAAATGTAAATCTGCTCAGACATGGGGATCTTTTTATTTGAAAACCCCTGAATGATTGGACTAGTGATGGGCCAAACACCCCCCTGTTCAGTTTGTGGTTGAACATTCAAACCTACAGAATATTCGACCGTGAACTTCGAACACACATACAATTTACTGAGCGGTATCTTACCGCATCTGAGTATGCGGTAAGATACCTCTCAGTTTCTAAAATACTGCATAAGTTATATTATTAAGTCATGCAGTATTTTAGTAGTGAAACATTCATTCATGTTTCAGCTGTCAGTGGGGTTCCCTGCTGACAGCTGAATGTCAAAAGAATTGTCGGCATTGACGACAATTACAAATTGTTTTTTAAAAACTGCATGGTGTCCCTCCTCCCATCCATACCAAGTCCTTTGTGTTTGGTATGGATTTTGAGGGGAACACCCAAGCCAATTTTTTTTTACAAATGGCGTGGGGTTCCCCCCAAAATCCATACCAGACCCTTATCCAAGCATGCAGCCCAGCATGCCAGGAAAGGGGGGGGGAGGGCGAGTGAGTGCCCCCCCCCCCCCCCCGAACTATACCAGACTACATGCTCTCGCCCAAAGCACATTGTCCCCATGGGGACAAGGGCCTGTTCCCCACAGCCGTGGCCGGTGGTTGTGGGGGTCTGCTAGTGGGGGGCTTATCAG